GTAGGTCTTAAGTGGGTACACACTACACGTAGGTATACAGTAGGTCTTATTTGGGTACACAGTACACGGAGATATACAGAAGGCCTTAAGCGGGTACACAGTACACGTAGATATACAGTAGGTCTTAAGTGGGTACACAGTACACGGAGATATACAGAATGTCTTAAGCTGGTACACAGTACACGTAGATATACAGTAGGTCTTACATGGGCACACAGTACACGTAGATATACAGTAGGTCTTACATGGGCACACAGTACACGTAGATATACAGTAGGTCTTACATGGGCACATGGTACACGTAGATATACAGTAGGTCTTACGTGGGTACACAGTACACGTAGATATACAGTAGGTCTTACATGGGCACACAGTACACGTAGATATACAGTAGGTCTTACATGGGCACACAGTACACGTAGATATACAGTAGGTCTTACATGGGCACACAGTACACGTAGATATACAGTAGGTCTTACATGGGCACACAGTACACGTAGATATACAGTAGGTCTTACATGGGCACACAGTACACGTAGACATACAGTAGGTCTTACATGGGCACACAGTACACGTAGATATACAGTAGGTCTTACATGGGCACACGGTACACGGAGATATACAGTAGGTCTTACATGGGCACATGGTACACGTAGATATACAGTAGGTCTTACATGGGCACACAGTACACGTAGATATACAGTAGGTCTTACATGGGCACACAGTACACGGAGATATACAGTAGGTCTTACATGGGCACACAGTACACGTAGATATACAATAGGTCTTACATGGGCACACAGTACACGTAGATATACAGTAGGTCTTACATGGGCACATGGTACACGTAGATATACAGTAGGTCCTAAGCGGGTACACAGTACACGGAGATATACAGTAGGTCTTACATGGGAACACAGTACACGTAGGTATACAATAGGTCTTACATGGGTACACAGTACACGTAGATATACAGTAGGTCTTACATGGGCACACAGTACACGTAGATATACAGTAGGTCTTACATGGGCACACAGTACACGTAGATATACAGTAGGTCTTACATGGGCACATGGTACACGTAGATATACAGTAGGTCTAAAGCGGGCACACAGTACACGTAGATATACAGTAGGTCTTACATGGGCACATGGTACACGTAGACATACAGTAGGTCTTACATGGGCACACAGTACACGTAGATATACAGTAGGTCTTACATGGGCACATGGTACACGTAGATATACAGTAGGTCCTAAGCGGGTACACAGTACACGGAGATATACAGTAGGTCTTACATGGGCACACAGTACACGTAGGTATACAGTAGGTCTTACGTGGGTACACAGTACACGTAGATATACAGTAGGTCTTACATGGGCACACAGTACACGGAGATATACAGTAGGTCTTACATGGGCACACAGTACACGTAGATATACAGTAGGTCTTACATGGGCACATGGTACACGTAGATATACAGTAGGTCTTACATGGGCACACAGTACACGTAGATATACAGTAGGTCTTACATGGGCACACAGTACACGTAGATATACAGTAGGTCTTACATGGGCACACGGTACACGTAGATATACAGTAGGTCTTAAGTGGGTACAGACTACACGTAGATATACAGTAGGTCTAAAGCGGGTACACAGTACACGTAGATATACAGTAGGTCTTACGTGGGTACAGACTACACGTAGATATACAGTAGGTCCTAAGTGGGTACACTATACACGGAGATATACAGTAGGTCTTATGTGGGTACACAGTACACGTAGGTATACAGTAGGTCTTAAGCGGGTACACAGTACACGTAGGTATACAGAAGGTCTTAAGCGGGTACACAGTACACGGAGATATACAGTAGGTCTTACGTGGGTACACACTACACCTAGATATACAGTAGGTCTTACGTGGGTACACACTACAAGTATGTGTACAGTAGGTCTTACGAATGAATGAATTCATTCATTCATTCTATATACTCGTCAGCATAATATATATAGAACAATTGCCCAAAATAACACGGGGCATTGAGGTAGCCTAGTGGTTAAAGTGTTCGCTCGACCCGAGTTCGATTCCCCACATGGGTACAATGTGTGAAGGACATTTCTGAGGTCTCCGCCGTGATATAGCTGGGAAATTGTAAAACAATACTCACTCACCCCCCAAAAAACAACTTCCGGCACAACGATAGTTGGCTAAGTAGATATCAGCCATTGGCAGTTAAATTAATTGCGCACAATAGATGACATAACCAGACCGGAAGTTGACGGTAGCCATTGAGAGGTGGACTGCTTGATGTGATTGGCAGTGTGGCGGACCTTGTGTGTCGTCGGACCTTGGTTAGTTTATGCAGACAATGTATAAATAGTAATAAATCAATGTACTAAATCTTCCTTTGATTACGATTACGTACATCACAGAAGGTGTGGTCCACCGCGAAAGAACGTCTGTCACAGTCTGTCAGCGCAACGCTTGTAGATGTGCGGGGCGTCGCCTAGACTAACATTTAGTCTCTGAAATCCTATATTACACAATATCCTTCTTGACTCTAAAAATAAAAAAATTCCCTATGCTGATTTGGAATAGAGCTAGCTTGAGCTGGCTAGACTTGCTTTTGTATGCATTTCTAGATTATTATTTTTTCATAAAATAAATATATTCCACGGTCATGGTGCAGGACTAGGCGTAACGTCTACAGCCCAGGCATCAACATATAATTTTTTAATTTGACGTTTACACGATATACGGCTTTTCCATTGGACGAGAGGTCGGTCACATGACCGCGAAATTGACGTTCATAAGTGTATGAACGACACAATTTAACACTGACGGACTACTTCCACATTCCTGAGGAAACCCCTGGGAATTCCCTAGCACG